CAACAATGTGGGAAAACCTATTTGAGAAAACGTGTCAAAAGTGTTTTCAAACGCTCTCGATTAAAACTGATGACTTAAGAGCAGATTTTCTACAGATAGTCTACACTCCTAAAATAAGATGTCGAATAATTTGTCTTAAAACAAGAACTTAGGATCTGAAATGTGAAACGAAACCCGAAATCCAACAGTTAGCTACTTTAACCTTTCAAATTGACTATTTGTAAGTGGGAAAAACAGTAAGTGGGGAAAGTCCAACACTTCCTGTATTATCCTTTCTGTTATAGACTTAATTCGGGAACTCGCATTGAATAGAATTTTGATGAAGTTGTTCATTAACAGATGTAAGCCCCGGAGATCGTCTAGAGCCAATCTTCTAACAGTCTCGTGGCTGGCAGCAACATCTTTCAGAACAAAATGGCATTAATTTGGAACCTTTGTCAGTCGTCTAACTACCCACATGAAATAATAGCCCCGGGGGAAGCAGAACAACCAAACTAAATCACACTGTAATCAATATATCATTTTGGTACCCTTCTATTTAGGGGATATATTTATCTCTTTTAATCCTGTGATTAGAAATAAGATTTGGTTCTGTAGCTTCGGGATTTTTGTTTCTGAAGCCTTTAGTTTATTCTTTAAGCTAACATTTAATTTTGATCACATTTTCTCCTGCAATAGAAATACTGAACTCTTTATGTATGACGTCACTACCGCAAATACTGCTAATGATACTGAAGGGACTTTGCAATAGCTTCCGCATAAAATTCTTAGTTTTAGTAGAATTACGATAACCACAGATTGACTGAACAGATTTAAAAACCCTCTTTTCAATCTCTTTACAAACCGACTCGGAATTGAATCTATTCTAATCAAACAGTATCCGATGAAAATGGCAATAAGTTTTATAGGTCAGTCATAACACTATAATTTCTAGCCCAGATCTAAATATATTAAACTATTATGAATCATTGGGATAATAAGTCTAATAACTTCCGTCCACTCACGTTTAAAGAGTAGAGGTCGAAGGTTAGACCTGGACCAAAACTACATTTAATTTAAGGGAGTTTTTACGTTTAAACTTTTCTTATGGGTTTTACTTTGCCTTTCATTCTGTCCTTCTTAACAATGCTGTTATATTATATATTGTATATGCGCAATGATTCAAATCGTAACATCCTGGTTTTGGTTTATGGGAAATGGTGTGATATGGGATCGGAACCTTTTGACACCAGAATTATCAAGAAAGGTTTACCTTCAATCAGCGAGCCCAAACACAGTCGTTTTGATTATCTGAATGGGGTAGGGGGTATTTTGAATTTGAAGATATGTTGTTTGCTGAAACTAATTGGAATATGGAAGACAATTTGTAACATTCGAAAAAGAAATTAGATTCCACTTTCTGATATAAAGTGGATTTAAGGTTGCCTGTATATTAATTTGAAAGATTGTTTTATATGCGAAAATTGAAGATTCGTGGAAAGAGAATGATACCCTTCGTAAAGGTCATAGTAGCAATTTAAAATTTGAGAAATTTATACAGCTATTTAACATCTGATACCAATTTTTACATTATTATCTAATAATTTTACATATTCCATTCTGAACTGTATTACTCACTTGTCAGTAAATTGGTGCATAAAAACTTAAATAGCCGAATAGCCGAAAACAGAATAGCCGTCCTGTCTGCTTAATTCTTTCAAAACTTAAAGCGGAAGTATGTTTAACACTTGATATATTTTGAAATACTTTGATTTTAATCTAAAAATAGGATTAAGACTAAATTATATGGTTTTCGGCACATTTTTAAAAATCGGATTGTTTTTTTAAAAGGTTTTTACCATTTGTTCATCATCTATGCAGATGAAGTCGTTATACCTTGACTATTGTGAAGAGTGTTCACGTAAGAAGTTTTTCTCTCTATATCATGAGCCATCGGGAGCCTTGCATCATTCTTGTTTTTATTAATCTGGCATATTTCCATTTTCAATCATGGTGAGGTTCAATTTAGGGAACACACAATAGCAGCAATACACACTAGGATGGAATGCACATGCAGATGCCTTAGGAAGAAAGGTTTTATTAAATGAATTTGTAATTTGTAAGCCTAAAACGTACGACCACACCTTTTACAAAATTTCCATATGTACGTTGCAAGATTGAACAGAAAGTACTTCAACATGTCAAATTATCATGTGAACCACCGCCATCACCTAGGTGGGAATGCTTACCCTCATCTCATGTTCTTCTACGATTGGGTTTAAAGTCATTGAACGGCATTTAGCAATTAATTTGTGAGTACAATACATAGACACAGCTTTATTGAACAATAATCATTGGTTAAAGTTATGCAATGTTTCGATCTGTTCTCCCGTCTTCCTCGGAAACACAATTTGGTTTGTCAAATCAGGTTTTACATTTGGGAAAGTGTATTTAATTATTATTTCTAAAAGTCATTAAGACCGTAGACATATACTTCACTAAAACCTGTTTCGATGGGTTTTAAACACTTTTGTAAGTTATATGAACTATATGTGTGTTTGTTTAGATGTTACTTGTCGATGTTGATTAAATTTGTTTACTTCAATTATTCTTTTGTTTACTTTGTCAACAACTCAACGTGTAAACAAATCACACTATCTTTCTAGGAGTCTTCATAATCACGTTTCATTTCGAATCAGAGAAATGCATTCCTTTTAGAACATCACCACCAATGGGAGGCCTGATCATTTTACTGTCCCGTGTATGAGACATAAGGTTCCACTTTTCACTGATTCCTGTAATTGAGATATTTTCGTTAACACTGAGATTCTGAGTAACCCAATTTCTATATGTCTTTATATTAAGCATTTTAGGTTATTTATTTTACGTATTTGCTAGTTATGGTTTCGCTTAGTTGAGAATCGAACAACCTAAGTTCTGAACCATGTTAAATCCCTGATTGCTCTTGGATGTCATGATATTGTCCGAGTTGATCGATTTTGATATTGGAATACTGATAAGTTCATTACGATCTAGGATTATTCAAGACTACATTAATTACGAGAAACAATGTCTTGATTTTGTATTATAGTCGCTGGAATTATCAGAACAGAACAATGACCGTTGATAAAACATGTATGTGTATCTTGTAACAACTAATCGTGTTCGTGTTCAACAATAAAATGATAATCCCAGAGATTTTCTCTCACGGATAGAAACCATTTCATGTCGAGGTGAAAACTGGCCCCTCAGCTTTAACAACCGAATACCGAATTAACGTTGGTGGAATTTCTCATACACGCTGTAAGTAAATTAAGCCGAAGAAATTTATCATATTGTGGGAGATTTTAATAATCTTAATTAAGAATGTATCCTTAATATTTATTTTTATTTGCCTACGCATCATTTTGTCACGAGTCAAGATAAAAGTTAAGATTTTCTTTGAATTTTCAAATAACAAGAATAAAGTGTATACGTTCTCGAGTAGGTGTAACTTTCTACAGGTGAAACACGTCTTGACTATAATTATATAATATATGGGTTAAATTATTTTTTGTAAATGCTTTGAGTGTTTTAACTATGAGGAAACCTTATCTTCTGACCACGTACGATGCAAAGAAGCAATATTTCACATTTCAAATTTGAGTAAATCATTAAAACTCTAATCAAAAAGTTGAGACTCTTCCCGCAGCTGATTCATCTGCAACATCAATATGATTTGATATTGGATCGATGTTTTTCGAATGGTGAACATTCGGACGACTGGCTTGTTCTGCAAAATTTCTTTCCCAAGTTTGCATGTTGAAATTGGTAACGCATGCATTATCCCGCAATGTAACATGTTTGAAAGGATTTTTTTTATTGTACTGTTAGAGAGGTTATTCTATATGTTCGTGTCTTTAGTAGATGTCTTTTGTTTAACGAAACCAGTACAAGTAAAATTTCCAGTCATTAATTTTAAAATAAATTATACCATATTTTTTTAATGAGCTTCATTTTTTAATCTTAAAGCGATTTATATTGCGTATCTAAATGTCTGACACGCCTATACCCTCCCTTGTAATTTATAAAGATTATTATTTAGAAAAAACAAGGCAACACCATAGGTTATTCCAAAACCTTTCGCATTTTCCTCAATATGTTTCTGAAATGGTAATTTTTATAAAATTAGAAGGTTTAATATTTCTATTTTACATCGCTATTCCTGGTTTACTATCATCAACTGCTGGTGGACAGATACGTATCCAAGTCATTCTGCTAGCTAAAATTGCTGAGGTCAACTTTATTGACGTTTATCTCTATGAATAAATTATGCGGTTCAGGGCTCCCTCATTCATCTGGAACACTATTTGCCCTGGGATCATAGTGTTTCGGATTGTCAACAAGACTATTAATGTTTGATTGATACTGGTATAATTTGGTATTCGTCTTGTTTCGATGCTGTCAAGACTATCGCGTCAATAGTTGGCAGTTTTCTGTGGACTGACACTACTCTCTGATGATGTCTGCAACTAAAGTGTAGTTTTGATAGTTGATAATTATATATTTGTATATGATTGAAATGCCCTACATTAAAATCTGTCGCAGTAAATTAAAAGTTGATTGATTAACGTTTAACATTAATTACACTTGACATTTACTATTGACTTTTTATTATAAAATAACAGCTGGTTAAATTCTTTATTTACTTACTATTTACTTACTTCTCGCTCATTGCACATGTCATATAAATCAAAGTTCAAATGAGGTTATTGTTTTAGACTTTTGTTTTATATACATATAGGCATGTTTTTATCAACTGAATTGAAATGTAGATTCATAATGTTAAGTCTTATGTGTCTACGATCTCTTAATTCTGAATTTGCATCCAAAATGGATTTTGCAATGGTAATTGATGTATTTTTCATCCAATGCCAATCAGATCTGGCAGCAAAGACAGGCTACAAAAAGGCAGTTGAAACCACTATTAATAAGGACAAGGACACCGTACAGTTGATTACAGAAGTCGCTTTCGACTGATTATGCAACCTCCCTACAGTGGTAATAAGGCACATCATGCCAATCTCACATTCGTAAAATCTAGATACCGGATTTAAGAATGATAACTTTAGGAGACCTTAGTTTATTCTAAAAGATTGTCGGATAAAAAGTTATAACCTTGTCATGGAATTGCATCAGGTGTTAACAATAGAAAAAAGCATGTAAGATCCAATATGTAATTGCCCCTTTTCATTTTGTAATTTTAGTACTGTCGACCACGATTGTAGATGTACCAGCAAGTTTACAGGCAAAGATTGGAGACACTACAGAAATCAACATCCTTTTCTATCCTTATGATAAACAGAATAACGCAAGCATTACCATTGTTGACATTGATAATCGACTACGTCCACGTCTTTTAACGGCTACGACCAATTTTACCAATACGACTGATCTGGATACGGCCAGCGTCTGGAAGAATAGGATTGATGCAGATGTTGTGGAAGGTTATGGATTGAGTCTCAAGTTGTTGAATGTGAATTATGAAGATAATGGTAGATATGAGGTGACCATCAAAACAAATTCCAATCAAACCCATCATTTTCAACTGCTTATAGAAGCCGTCGGTAAGTTTATTCAATGTGCTTCTCATTCCTTTTTGTCAATCCCTTTTGTCCATTCATCTCAACACCAAGTAAGCAATCATCTGATTTTTAAGACAGCGATGCTTTATTCAGACAGCTGTTATTCATTAATTCATCACATTTATTTGTTCGCTATCAGACTATCAGATTATAAATATCCAGAAAGGGTTAATAAGAAACAATTTAAGAGTGTAGAGGTATGAACTTCACAAGTACGATTTGTTGCAGCAAGACTTCTCGTGGGCTACTATGATTTCAAACACTGAGATATCCGAGTCTCATGACTCTTTTACTGTATCATCCATTTCAGCTCCACCAGCTTTCGTTAGTATATCCATACCTAAACCTAAAGGTCCAGTTTTTACAGAGTTTGAACCTGTAAATATAACCTGTTCTGGAGCAGCAGGTCGACCACTTGGTAGAGTTTATCTTTCACGTTTAACAAAAGGATCTAAAGTCTACCAAATATTGGATATACCACCAGTGATGCACAACTACACTGCTGTTAATAACGGATCCTTCATGATCCACTACACCTTTGAAAGAGTTTTACGTGCTGATGATGATCAAGCTAGGTATGCGTGTGAAATCCATCCTGGCAGTGAATATTTTGGTTCTGTGTATTTGACCAGGAGTCCATTGGAGCTGCTGAAAGTTGATTGTAAGTACCACTTTTGTCATACATAAGTTATGTTGTTCTTGTATCAATGTTGGCCAAATATTCATGCCTTTACATATCTGTCTGTCTTGCTTATCGTGAAGCTCCCAATATTGTATGGTATTACTCATCGAGCTAATGCAACAAACCCTTTTTTATTTGTCTCAATGTTTCACAACTTTTTGTCTAAAGGACTGTGTCACGATTTTGTGTATTCTTCTGAAAACATTCCTTCTACCTAGTAACCAGAATCAATAGTGTCAGTTGTTTGTACAAAAACTCAAAGCTTCGTCGAAAGGTGAATGAATGTACAATATAACGCAGTTATGGTGTATGGGCGATAACTCGTCTTCTTTTTCATGGATTTTGCTAAGTTAATTGACTTTTGGTGGTTGAAAGAAATACTGACACACCTATACTAAATATTCAAATACGATGTAAAAGAAATTTATAATGTATTTTCATGATTAATAGATTCCTAAAATCAAAGTTTTTATCAAAGGGGCAGTATGTAAAAAATTTTATTATCAAAAACGTCCCACATTTTACCTGAAAATATTTATAAAATATGCTATTATCATCTATATATATCTATGCTTGATCAAACTGAATTTGTTTTAAAAGGGTTAATTAAAATGGAGAGTACTAATTTTTAATTAAGAGTATGACTTAGTTTTGGTGTTTAGATTTATAATGGCTAGATATTATTTGTTAAAACTTTCGGATACGTTTTGATTTTGGTGTATAATATAGTTTTCACAAATTTGAGCACAAAAAAGAGGAATGCGCGTCGTGTTTTCAAGTCTTCCAGTTTAACATATCATTGAAAATCAAATTAGTTCATTGCTCTTGACCTTAAACAGTTAAAGATGACTTGATTTCCTGTACACTTATCACTATCACAAGTTTGAAATAGGTGTACTTTGAACAATCCAATTTAAACACAACTCAGCATATATTTCATTTCTATCCTGTCAGCTACTCAACTTGTTCTCAACTTACTGAGTTGTTTCTTGTGAAAAAAATTGGGTTCATGAAAGTGTACCTCCATGATTTGTCTTGCGGAACCCCCACACCGTGGACCAGTGTGATGATATTTGGCAAGAATAATGACCACTAGCCAACTTTAATTCACTTTTTTCCAACTTCGATGGATTTTCAAAGCACACAGCCTATAGCAACGATAATATTCATAGTTGTATTTAATACTATAAATGGAAAGATGGATTATCCTTAAAATCTAAACACTAAAAACACTAAAAATGACTCTCTCCATCCTAATGGAGACTATTTATCCTTACTGACCTATATTGTGATAAGAAAATAAGCCATTGAAATCCTTTTATTTGGAAAACAATGATAGGTTTATTCAGATCTAATGGAGACTATTTATCCTTACTGGCCTATATTGTGATAAGAAAATAAGCCATTGAAATCCTTTTATTTGGAAAACAATGATAGGTTTATTCAGATCTATTCAAGCACATCACATTGAACCTTAGTAGCTTATGATAAATATAATATTTGACGATAACTTGTATAAAAAGAGGCTTATTTTAACATACAATATCACTACATGATTCAATATCCGGGATTTTCACACGGGGTTTGAAAATTAAATGAGACATACCACTGGTATGTTTCACCCATAATAATCTTTCTGAGCAACAATAGGATAATTTGGATGGTACAATTTTTTTTTAAATCATTTAGACTATCTCTTTAAATGATAAGGCCAACCTGTGTTTTATTGTATAATGTACAGATATATTTGACTATGACTAATGTTTATACATACTACAATAAATGGCTGAAACGATTACTATTTACATTAAAACCCGGATATAAATTAATATTAAGGCTTACATTTGTTGTGAAAAATATTTTCGCATTATTATTACTTTGAATAATAAAGGTATTCTAGAAGAATAAAAGTTGATTATTTTATGATTGTATATTACCAAATAAAGCGTTGCCATTTATTTTATTCTAAGCATTCATTATATACAGTAACTCTGTAATATGCACACTATTTAAACATGGGTCATACATTCAAGAGACTAATGCATATTTAGTTTGAAATATTTGTAGGACAGTGAATGACATTTAAATTTATGGTGTATTATTTATTCAAACCGGAGTAATATTTCTTATTATATACCTTACATTACTATAGACTATATAAACAAACGTGACAAATAACTGAATCATTCAGTTGAATGCTGTAGTGTCAACAAATGTTTATTATTGTTAGTTGTCGATGGATGAAATCTTTTCGTAAGCAAGAAATGAAATCCTCAATGAAAGTAATTCCTATGATCGTAGGACATGTAATTGTTATCCATTATCAAAGTCCATGTAATTGTTATCCAAAATTGAAGAACGTGTAATTGGTATCCATAACATTTTGTTCAAGTGGCGAATTACTGAATGACAACTCAATCAAGTTTACCGTGAAATTAGATTGCAGGGCCAGCCATATGAATCCGAAGATGTAAACACCGAACTGAATAATACATCATGAATAATACATTATTGTAAATTGTATTTTGGAGATGTGTGTTGTGGTGCATGTTTTCCTTAAAACTTCGTTTGGTGAAACTAATTGGCGATTAGCATTGATCTTAATTTAATGATAAAATGGCACCATAATCCAAACACTTTTTTTCAAAATGTGTGCGGAATTATTAAGTCAAATCATCAGGCTTTAACATACATAAACAATTCATGGCTTGTTAAGATATACTATAGGTTTTCATCTTTCTACAATTTCTATTGTGTAACCTAATATATATCGTTGTGATAATACTACTATATTTCTTATATGGGTCATAATATGGGTTATAATTTAAAATAGAAACAGATAAAAGTTACAATTTATTCTCTCTCTAACATCAATGGTATGTTATCTGAAAAGAATGAAGGACAACTATTCATATTCATGTGTGTTTGTTGAGCGCAGGTAAAGAGGTCCTTTGCTTCGTGTTTATAACATTACTATTATTCAGTAAGCTAGGGTGTGTTTTTTTTTAAGATTCAAAACACCCCACATGTGCCATTAAGTGCCACTCATTTTTATTTTTTGATAAAGGGCTTTTCAAATTATATGTCACCGTCTCTAATTGGAGATGAAACAAACAGGAAACTTTCATGGCTTTAAAGATAGTCTTTTTGTACTATTAATAAATTTTGGAAACGAAACTTCTCACTTATCTTTGCCAGATTGCACCAAGATCATTGACTCCCCATTACATTCACAAGGAAAGGTAAGGAGAGAGAGTTCGGAAGCATTGAAGAGAGTTGGTGTGGAGAATCCTGTAGAACAGGGGAGAATATACGCTATCCCTCCTATACATCTAAATCACTATAAAACTTTTAATTAATATAATAAAATTAATTTTTTATTATGTACAAATTTCTTATTAGTAAGTCGTGGTATGTGAAAATCCTGCGCAATTACCATACCTTGACATACTTATCTCAAGTACACCTGAGTAAGTTGAAAGGCTCTAATTCATACGCTAAATAGAAGCTTAATATCTCAAGTTCATAACGCAATAGGTCGCGTAATTTGTCCTTATAAACTTCAAGCTATTAGCGGGTACTATGAACGTTTTTTCATTGTCCACTCATCAGTGCACCCAGGTCGTCTCAATCGAGTGATTGATTAGATACTGCCAGTTGGTCTTAGATTGTGTTCGTTACAATATTTCCCTGGTCCTCCTCAAGACGAGAGATAATTTTCATCGTAATAACAGAGCCAATTGGAAGTCTTGTCACGCCTAGTAGTGGATACTCTTTAGCTGACAATTTTGTCGACGATGCTTGCTGATACTTTAAAAGTCACTCTTGTCAGACATACCATTAAAGACAATGAAATGGTCGATCACTTTCTTGGTACGTCAAAATTGGACATTCTTCATCTTAAAAATTCAGCCCAATTCCAAAATTTGAGCTCCTATAAAACCTCTCGGATCAACTGAAATTAACAGCCCTGTAATGGTCAACCCGGCAACCAAGTCCAAGGGCCCCACCCCTAAGGAGGCCCCATGCCCCCAGAAAAAAATACAAGATTGTAAAAAATATGGAAAAAAATTAAGTATAATATAAAATGGCTCACAACTAATGCTAGGGCCCTATCAAAGACAATATTGTGTACTTAGTTCAGGTAATGAGGCCCAATGTTAGGTATGACTGCCAATGAGAGTCCTTATACATTTAAATAATACAGTTATTTTTTTAAATCGTTTAATCTTACAGTAACAGGCAGACAGTGTCTCAGAATTCAGGAGAGTATATATCTTTTTTATATATTTCCCGTAGGAGGGGATCCACTTAAGCCCACGAGCTCCCACTCATCTTGTTGTTTCACACATTCATAGCATATATTAGGTTATTTAGAGATTGCTGATTTCTATTAATAAAATAATACTTCTACCCTAAGAAGATAAATAGATAATTAACTCTGTATTGGAAACCTGAGACCATCGTCTGCCATATGGATAAGATAGATATCATCATTATACTGATTTTAGAAAATCAAATAAAACAAATGATAGGGTTACAGATAAGGTTACTCTCTATCTATCCAGGCCAAGTTTGTATCGCTATGGTTTTTATCTGCAAGTTGATTTATCTTAGTATTTAAAACCTGCCTTATTACTTTTATCTCAATTCCTATCATCATAAATTTAAAATTGTATCCAATTGTCTTTATTTATTCATATCTGAAGTAATTTTCTGTCTTATATGTTCTGAAGTAATATTTGATTTGATTCTAAGATAATATTAGTTTTTTATCGTTCTAAAGTAAAATTAAATTGTATGATATATGATATATCTGAAGACAATCTTATGACTATCATACGACATGTAATAGAATGTAAATCAAAGCTGTCTTACGATAGTCATACCCGAGATGCTCTTAATATGACTGTCATAAGTGATAACATTGACTATATAGTTATTACTTACAAAATATATTCTCAACATTAAATTTTATATGAAAATGAATTAAAATCGTAGTTTGATCATTTGTTTGAATTTAGTTTGTATATTTATTATACTTTTACATTCTCGAACTCTGTGTTTATTTATTATCTTACATGATGTGTTTGTTTTCTAATTGTGAATACTTTTAAGATGTGAGACATCGAGTACATGTAACTGCTTAACGAAATGCTCGTGCAAATACTTTGAGAAAGTACTATATAAGGATAGAAATAATACATTTATATTTATTATACATAATCATGAGTAAGAGAAGAATTTTACATCGCAGGCGATTCAAATTTTGATAGACGAAGTGGAGAAGAATAAGTCCTTACTTTTCAGCCGACACAGCAATGTAGTAACAAACAGTGCTAAAAAGAAAACTTCATATTTGAATCGCAAACTGCTTGAACATTAATAGAATGGTAGCTTTTTCTATTTACATACAGATGTTCATCCTCTGTTGGAGCTTTTATACGTATGTGTGTAACATCAATGGCACCGACTACACTTGGAAAGTCTGTTTTTTCATGAAAACCTCTCATGATGTTGCGAAGTCCAGTCTGGTCAGTTGGCATCTTTATATAGTCATTACAAATCCTCGTGCAGTTATATCACGTGTTATTTTAGATACACTTGGTCTAGATATATCATGGACATCAGCATTGACCATCTGAAAGCTTCCAGTGGCATAAAATCTGTGTGCAACCATGATTTGGAATGAAACTGGAAAGGCACGAGATCTTGCTGTTGGCCTTGGGTTGTTTGGAACATTCTACATAAATCTAGTATCATTGGGCGTGAAAGTCTATATCTACATACTATTTGTTCATCATCCATGTAGTCTTGTGGGTTATTTCTGTCTCGAAATACTCTGTTTCGGCGTACGTTTTCAGCTTTTTGTCGAATGTGCTTGTAAACAGCAGCCATATTCTTTTATTCACGTGATATCGAAGCTCTTATGATAATCATAAGTCTATCATAACTTTTATGATAATCATAAGACCATCTTAAGACAGGTCGAGAGGTGTCTTAAGATTACGATGAAATTTATGATTTATCGTAACTTAGGACACTTTCGAAAACCTATCTTACGACTATGAAGCAAGCTTCTGATTACTTCGTAAAAAAACCTTGCCAAGGTTTCAATTATCAATCGAATATGTCGAATAACCTTAATGGTATGTTTAATCTAGTTGACTATTAACACCACGTCAACAGTGAGTGTAGAATTAGCATACCACCAACATTCTTTCATTTACAACGTGATACTTTCTTCACTTCATTTCTTTATTCTTGACTGTAATCCTAACACCAACGTATTAAGGCCAAATTTACCACGTTAAAGATTTCTTTTTACATACTAGCCTTCTATTTTGGCATAGAAGGTTGTCATTGAAATGAAATTTATAGTCGTTGACAGTAGTGCCGTGGGGTGAGGGGGGGGGATGGGGCAGTTGGGGCATATCCCCCTTAGAAATTTTGCAAATTGTTTGGGAATCCCAGCAGATGAGTTGTAATTTTAAATGAATGAATTGAATTTTACGTCCTACTTTTCTGCAACTTATGGGCTAATGAAACACCATGAAGTGTACAATAAGGGTAATTTTGCCAGGACGTGGCATTCGCTAACTATTTTTCTAGGGGTCCTCCATCTGAACGACTAGACGCTTTTTCGATGTCAGCCCTTCACCGACGAGGGGAAACCTAGTAGAAAAAGCCGAAGGTATATCTCAGTTTGAAACTCAGGGAGTTGTGCAACATCAGCTTCATGCAAATTTAAATGGTTACGGTTTTTTCTCTTTTTTCGTTATTGCACGGTCGACTGGGGTCATATCAATTAGTAATTTGTCTTAAACAAAGCAGCTTATACAATAAGATATTATCAATATATATCATCATGCGATGTTAAGACAGATATTGATCTATTTGTGTAAGGCTATATATCAATGTGTGTTTCTGCAAGGCGACATGGTTTCTTGGCAACAATACAGATTGCATTGCTCTTTGACTAGATTGCAATATCATTATAACCACGACATTTCAGTTCATGCTTATTTAGTCACATCGCGCCTTGTTCGACCCCCACCCCCTTAAAGATACAATTGCAAGTCCATATCCGCAATGCAGATAGTTAGACACCGGACTCAGGTTCTCGTCTTCGAACCACCAACGTTTTATCTATAGCCAGTTCATCTATTCACTTTCCCATAAAAATCTTTCTCATAATGCAATTATCTTTTGACAAGCAATTAATATAAATATATATCTATAACTTCTAATGTTAATATAGATTTGATATAGTGGTCCACTGAATACCATATTATTAACGGTTCGCCTTCTCCGACTTGTGTTCATTTCCATTCACATTGAATGCACAGTCAATAGTAATTTCATACACTTGTAATTCCAGCCCCGATGACCCCTTAATTCAAGTAGGCACCTCGTGTGACGCGGGGTACGTCCAGCGGTCATCTAGTACCCTTCAGTGGTATACTTAGCACAGCTCATGACCATCCAGGTCACCGACATGCACAGCAGATATTTTTTAATATGCTCAATGAATTCGAATATTGAAATTGATATAGGCATTAGTTAGCCCTCTCAGTTACTGTGGCCGAGTCATCTCATCTCATTCATTCTTATACTCTGTCAACTGACCCTCAAGTGTCGAAGCCCAACTTTATCCAGACAACTATCAATACCCTCTGAATGTGTCAATGTTTTGAATTTTCGTTTTTCATTTCTTTACACTTATACCATAGCTGTATAATAGCTTATACGTTTTTATCACATAATAAGTAGGATATATAAAATATTTAATTATGTTAAAGAGATATATTATCAGATACGTCATCAACAATACATCTCTAGTCCGGCAGTAGCTGTCAGACGGCTATAAATCTGTTACAATAAGGATTTATCACACTCTATCAATCAGTCAAATCTCCATTGTTTCAATTTAATACAATAAATTGCTTAAGGTCGAATCCGCCTGGGGTAAATTTCAATTTGCACTCGGTTACCATATTTTCAATATTGCAATTAACTACTAGGGCTTTGGAGGTATAGTATGAAATTCTTACCCAGAATGACCATAAAACATGTTGAGAAAAGGTTGTAAGCTATACACAGTATAAACAGTATTTATTGACAAAAAGGTATAAAGATATATAAAGAAAAATTACACCAATGGCTCCGTCAGCCTCCCGAGACTAAGGGTACGAACGAAGACAGACTTTTATAAAGGGACTGCTTTAAAATGGTGCATCTGTCCCTTTAATGAAAAAAAAAGAATTGATTTGGTTTATTCTCACACATAGTCTTAGAGAGAAAAAAACAAAATTCATATTTATAAATTTGTTATGAGATGAGGATACAAATGGGGGTA